GGAAACAAAAGGATTTGAATTACTAGGGCCATTTGTACTTGTAAATTCATTTTGAATTGAATTTTAGTTTAAAATCTGAAAATAAAAAAGCATCAATAAAATTTTCTCCAGCTCCTTGCTCATTTAACTATAAGTAGGATGTCAGTTCTTCCACCTTATTATTTTTATCTATATCTTTGCTGGGCTTGAGATTTTAATCTTAATAATTTTTTTCATAAAAATCTGCTCTTTTTGATAAACTATTTCCTCCAGTTGCTTCTTGTCATGTTCATACTTCGCCAAATTCTCCTTCCTAAAGCTGCCAAAGGTACATATTGTTCTAAATTCACTTGTTCAGGTTTCTAAGTTGATCTGGGCATAATCATGACATTACACTGTAACTACAAAGATTTCTTATACTAACTGCTATTACCCTGGAGAATCAACCTCAACTGAATTGTCTTCTAATTTTCTTCACTGTTTCATTTTGAAGTATTAAAATCGCTATAAAGTCAAAGTTGACTTTTTCTAACCTTCTTAAAAATTGCTAATTATTTACAGGCAAGTTATTATTAGAAAACAAAGATAGTCACTTTTGCTGCCATGTGACTTCCAGGATATGATTTGTGTAAGGTACTTAGATGCTGTAATTAACAACAAAGTGAAAATACACAGAAGCGAACTATAAACACAATAAATACTTTTACTCTTACTTGTTCAAATGACTGAAAGTGGAAGTCTATTAATGATGCAATGATAAAGGCTGATATATATATATATATAGAATATTAATATTAATGATTTAAAGAATATTAATGATTTAAAATTTATTTCACTTGTGCACAAGCAATTTAACAGAACACACTGCTAACAAGAGACTAACAATGTATTTGAGAGCTAAATCTGTATTCAAGAAAAAGTCACTTAACTATTCTTTCACTAAGAGCTCCTTCCTTGCATTGCACATTTTTGTATAATTAAATTAGTTATTCATGTCTTGTCTTCAGAACAAACTTTTAGAGGCTCTCTTTGAACACGTGAAACATTTTATTTCAGCCTAAATATTTTAGCATGTGGTCTCACCACACCTTTCTTTATGAAGCAAATTTTACCCCTGTGATATTAAGAAAGAAAAATTTGGTACCAATACTTACTGAAAATTTTCTTTTATCAATAAAATATTTTGAAGGATACACTCAAAATAAAAGTATATTTTAAAATACCTAAAAGCCGAAATTAACAGTGTTAAATTACAAAGTGAATGTGCATTTAGCATTTACTTTCTTTTTATTGCAGGAGAAAGTAACCCTTACTTTGTAGAAAATTTATTCCTTCTCTTGATCTCATGATGGACTGAATTCTTCTTTTTATTCAGATACTATATAATTTATTTAAACATTGGAATATTACACAAGTATGTGAATGAACCATGTGCAAAATGCATGTAATAAAAATCTCATGAACATGTTACTGAGCTAAATAAGCCAGATACAACAAGTACATAATGTATAATTCCATTCACATAATGCTCCTAGAACTGGACAGCGGTTAATTAAAGCAAGGGAAGGTGTCACCAGGAAGGAGCCCAAAAGGGGTGGAGATGTAACTGCATTCATATGACCAACTTGTGAAAATCACTGATGTGACTATACAGATGTTACACTTGCCTCCGCTTGAATTCTCTTGGTGCAATCCCATGGCCAAAACAGAAGGGCACCCCTGCTGACAGAGTCCTTCAGGCCTGGCTGTGAGACACAGGTCTTCCTCACACTGCAGAGGTCAAGGTTCTCTGCCTCCTCCCAGTGCATTACGTATTAGATAGGTCTCTGCCCTCTCTCCAAAGCCTCTCACGCAGGAATCAACACTCTTCTCAGGGAGCAGTGGAAAAAGCACCAACATTTTGAGTCAAATACTGAAGCCCCCACAGTGAACAGCTCAGGCTGCAGATGCTGACCAGGTGAGGACTCACCTGTGACATGCAGCCAGGGTGCAGACTACTAGGTCAGCATCCTCTCTCACTTTCTTGTCATTGCAATGGGAATGATAGTGCCTACCTCAGAGACGTTAAAGGGACTGAGATGAGTTACTACAGGTAAAACACTTAGTGAATGACACAAGTTAGGAGCTTCAAGATGATAGCTGTTAACATCTGAGAACTTTGGTCCCTGAGGAAGCAGTTCTAGGGAAAGGGCTTAGGCTTCAACCAAAGTTCCCATAGCCAAGCCATGAACCACAGGCATTTTGGTTCATAACTTCTATCAAGGCCCGGGTGCCTACATTTGGCCTCTACTTTGCAGAGGTAAAGACCTTTGCAGTGCCTGGCTCCAGCTAACTCAAGTATACAGAGCCTGAGGTAGACAAGAAGCCAGTTCACACAGTGAAAACAATGCTCAGCAGCTGGACCTTCTACACTGGCACTTCCACCCCACACACAGGCCTAAGAAGAAGCCAAATCATAGTCAGATGCAACTAGAACAACTTACTCAATGAACCAAGAGGGGCTGTAGGGCACATTCCAGGGAAAGCTAGCTTGGCTGGGATCCGAACCTCTCATGACTGGCTCCCTAGTCTTTCTGCTTTTCACTGCTGACAACACTATATCCTGCCCTCAACTTCATCAAGATTGATACCCCTCTGCTCAGATCCCCAATTGACACATGTGAAGTCAAACAGCAATGCTGTTTATTCAAGTTCCAAGTGTGTGGTGGGGATATGGAGTAGGAATCGCTGTTCCCATAAGCAAACTTCCAATCTATACAGGCTCACTCTCCTTAGTGGGACTTTCCATCAATGCCATTGCTATCCAACCAAATGTCCCCAAAAGTCACACTATACCTCTTGCTTGCAGGCTTTATAAACACAGGCCTGGCCGGCCCACTTGCAAGAACAGAGTATACCACCAGTGCTGGAGACTGTTGCTGCCAGTGTCTCCCCTTAAACACTGGCCACAATATCTCTCCCTGAGGCAGATCCCAGGCCCAAAGAACGCAATGTCAGTGCTTGTGGCCACACACAATGAAGCCCTCTCCTGGACCAGATTGTGCTATTCCATAAATGGCTTCTCAGATGTTCATCTCTAATTTCACCAAGGAGGATAAACTGCTCAGCAGGTGGCAGATCTGGGACCACTGGACAACTGTCTTCCCACTACAACCCACACAGAAAAGGCCTGCAGCGTGCAGGAAAGAACAACCCTGCCCCTTTCACCTTCATGCTGTCACTGCCAGACTCAGAGTGGTAGGGGTGTAAGCAGAGCAGAAGAAGCAAGGGACCAACAGTTACAGGAACATCATGGTTGCTTGCACAACGTGCCAGCATCTACAACAGCTGACTGTGCCCAGAGCCCTCCTCTCATCAGCTAGTTTCTCCTTTCTCCACAGCAAAAGCCTCAGTCACTCCACTTTTTCTTTTCTCTCTGCTGTTTTACCTTTCAATCCCATGGAGGATTCTTCTCTCCTTGAAATAACTGAATTTTTCTTATCAGTCATTATCTCAGAAATTCTTTTCCTCTATGACATAGAGACGTCAATCTTTTTCTTCTTTTTTTAACTAAATAATTTAGTTTGCTATGCTAAATCTGGACACCAAAAACTTTTCTCTCTTTTTTAAAAAAAGAACTTCCTTCATGGCTGTATTTACGTATTTTATGCATTGTTGGGCTTTTACTCATATAAAACTTATTCTCCCTAGTTTAAATTGTTAATCACAAAATGAACAAAGCATAGATGAACTTATTTCATTAACCTAAGTTATTCTAGACAACAACAACAAAATGGATTTTGTACTGGACACAATTTTTTATGTGGTTTGAATGTATGTGCTTGAAACCACATTGAATATCTCTCATTTTAGTCTTCTAAATGTGTACTGTTTCTAATATCTTATCAATTGTTATACTCTCATTAAAATAAGTTTTTTTTTAAAAAAAGGTAAATAAAAGAGAAAGACAAGAAAAAACTTAAGGTTTCTTGAAAGCAAGTGGTAATATTCAAATATTTGTCCAATCTTGCATAACTATATATGTTCATCTGAGCAAGAGATTTGACAATAAAAATAGATAATACAACAACCACTGTTAATTAGCTATTCTTGTTTTGAAAATCTGTAACATATGTATTGTTGCATGTTTCCCTGTTTCTGTCTCTGTTTCTGCTATTTGTTTTTGATTTTGTTTTTACTCTTCAACATTAAATTAAATTAAATTAAAAAAAAAGAAAATATGTGTTTGTGTGAGCAATGTGCCTGTAAATACTATGCTGTTAGGAATTCCTTTATAAGATGTGATACTGATGTTAGCATGCAACATCTTATATTATTTCAAAGCAGGCAGATTTTAGAATTTAATATGCCCACTACTGGTTATTTTAATGTTACATTACTGAAAGAATGACTGGGGGGAGGGGACATAATTGGTCTTGCAAATACAGACAGGGCTACATTATTCCCTGACACAGATTTCATTTGTGTGTGTTCTTTTAGGTCCTAAAAACAAAAGAAGTAGACTCTTCTAAAGACAAACACATTATTTAAATCTTTTTTTAAAAGATGATTTAAAATAATTTCTTAGAGTTCTGAGTGACCGCAAGAGATGGCGATTGCACGACACCGTAAGACCTGGGCACGGTGGTGGCAGAAGACAGGGACAAGCAGGACCTAAGGCAGCTATGAGTGCCTATGCCTCCAAGGAGTCAGCTTCACTCACAGCATTTTCTAGATTTCATAGATACTTGGTGCGTATTCCAGTGTGCGAGCTCAGGTTTCCTTGCTGGAAGGGCTGACGTTCTGACAAAGGGCTTTTTCACAAGCTCTGGAGAGTTTTCTTTTCATCTCCTAGTGAGACATCTGAATACCAGAAGTCAGAAAACAAGACTCAGGCAACTAGCTTCAGCAGGCCTTCTGCAGAGGCGCAGACAGAATGTGATTGATTTTTGGTGACAGTCTTTCGAAAAGTGAAGTGAAATGCACGTGAAATCATGTTAGCAATATTGTGCCTCAAAAGAGGAGAAAGTGCAGCATGTTACCTCCTGATTAGCAGCAGCTAGTTCTTCTTCCAGTGCAGAGACTCTTTCTAAAGAAACCCTCAGTCGCTCCCTTACCTAGAAGAAAAATCAAAATATGTGCAGTAATGTACATCCCATGCATATTCAAGTGTGCTGAACTCACCATTAACATCATCAGAGACAGTCAACTTAGCAAGAAAGTAAAGTATCTATAGTCCTAACTGCCCAGAATAATCCTGGCAGGACTGCTACAAATACTTTGTCACCTTGGGGTGTCAAGGGATTTTCTCATAAGCAAATGCTTTTGCTGCTTCACTGAGAACTTCCGTTGGGGCTGGAGATTGGCCAGACTTGTTCTGATTCATAGTAAGTGGAGACAAAGTTCAAAGGTATGTTACAAATTTATCCGAAGTAAGTACTGATTAAGTATGAAAAATAGGCACAAAAATCAATTTTTAGAAAATAAGTGAATTTTCATTTGACATTTATTAGGTAGCTTCAAAAATGATTTGCTTACAACCAGAACATTTTAGATTCTAAAAATTGTCTATTGCCTCTATGTTTGTAAAAAGTTGTGGTTTACATTGTGTTTTGAGGGATTTTTAAAGTACTTAATCATACACACACATAAAAAGAGTTTAGTCAGGCATGACGGTGCATGCTTATAATCCCAGACCTTGGGAGGCTAAGGCAGGGGGGGTCGCTGTGAGTTCAAGGTCAGAGTGGACAATATAGTGAGTTAAAGGCTAGCCTGAACTACAGAGCAAGAGCCTCTCTCTCTCTCTGTCTCTCTCTCTGTCTCTCTCTCTCTCTCTCTCTCTCTCTCTCTCTCTCTCTCTCTCTCTCTCTCTCTCACACACACACGTTATTAATCATTTTGAAATTTGTAACTAGCTTTCAGACACCAAAAATTAAAAGTTATATTTTATATGTAAAATCAAAAATTATACATCTTAGTTTGAAATAATGACATGCAAATGTTTTCTAGATAACTTAAATTCAAAGATGTGTTTCTTTGACTCTTCCTGAAATTTCTGAAAATTGTTATTAGTTGTTATACATTTATTATAGCTATGATTTATTTGCAAACCATAAAAATTCAGAGAAAATGTCGAATAAAATGAAAGACTATAGCAGCTTAATTTTCCTTAAAAACTTACAGATTGCATGTTACTTAGTTTTGTATTATTTAACATAGGTTTCTTTGTCATGTTTCAGTATTTGTGCAATAAGAATTTTTTTAATATTATAGTTAAATTCCTACGAACTTTACTTTTATTAATTCAGTGATAGTGTATTTCAATATTTAGTATTTTCTTCTATTTTAATAATGTTTAATTAGGTATATATGTTAAAAATATAAGATACATTATAATCCAGATGCATAAAAAATTTAGAAATATAATTAATAGTATAACTATGTAACAATACAATTATTTGCCATTTACCAAATAAACAAAATAAATAATATATTATTTGCCTAAAATCTAATTAGAGAATTTTTTAAAGAACTGCAATCATGTATTTTAATGGTGTATTATTGGAATACATGTATTTAGGTGACTCCATACAATTAACTTCTGAAATAAATCTTAAATATGCAACACAAATGTTTGTTTTCACACTATTATATTTTTTACATTCTGCCGCCAAAAAGTATTCACAAATGCAGCAAATATCAAACACGATTGCACAGAATCATATTTAGCCATATCAGATTGATTACTAAGCCAGTGCTTTAAGTAAATTTCTAATTGTTCTTACGAATTCAGAATTCGTATTCATCAATAACCAAACAGTAGTTGTTTAGAAGGAAATTTTAATTATTTGTTTTGGAGAATATGTTTTTATGAACAACTTAGACAGAAGAGAGGCAAGTATTTGGAAGCTGTAAAAATGAGTGGTGTAGTCAAACATGGAATGAAGACACCAAGAAGGTTGTAATAGACCCGTCTTCTATCTAACCTGGGTGACTCTAAAGCATTGTATCCACCTCCTACAATAACAGCTGTAAAATACTGGTGTTCTAGAAAGGACATAAAAATTCTGGTTGACAAGAACAGAAAAATGAAGCCATCTAAATATAAATTAATGATCTTATTAAAAGCAAAATTGACCAGCTCATAATTAGAATGCAGCAGAGAGGGTAACATACTTTACTTGAAAAGACATCTAAGAGGCATCCAAGTCATGTAAAGAGTGGTTGAATCCAGATTGTATTATAGAATACAGTATCTTTCTCACTGTGGCTAAGTTGGAAATCTGACTTTATTTGCCAAAGAGTAAGCATTTTGAGAGCTCTACTTTATAAACTTTCAAGAAATGAAATTAATTAAGCTTATCAAAAATTAGGAAAATTGAATAGTCACCAATCAATTTAGAATTGTGTTTACAAATCAGATCATCTTACCCACAAAGTAATGCCAATCTCAAACTGTCTTTATAAGTAAATAGATTTTTTTTTCTGAATAGATTTCAAGTTATAAATATTGGTATTGCAATTATTAACCTAATGGAGTAGAAGAGCTTTACTCAGTTTATATATGAATTATTCTCTCTACTTTCAATTTTTGGAAGAGACACAGATAAATGGAACACGTTGGCTTCATTTTTTGCTTATTTCTGCTAAACTTAGCACAATCTAAAAGCAGTATACAGTGGGATTCAAGAGGGGTGATCCAAATTAAACTTTCTGCGCTATAAAGAACACTAACACTTTATCTGATTTACTTGATTCAAACTACATTGTTAGGACGATATGGTACAATATCTCAAAGCACTTAGTTTTATGTTTTCTCTTAATAATCCACCAACAGAATGCTATCCTTATTCTTGATGAATTTTATGTTCTTGTAAAGCTAGATAGCTATGCTTGGCACGGCATAGCAATGACAGTCTGCTTTTCCTAAATCAAGTAGACAGTTGATATAGCTGTTGTGTACTTCAGTTATTGTTTTAAAAAAATTAATTGACTTCAATTAATCTATTATCTAGTTTTTTTCTCTTTCTCTTTTTTTAGAACCAGGAATTGAACTCAGAATCTTCCAATTGCCAGGCAGTTGCTTATGTTGCTGAGCTATCTCCTCGACCCATAGTTTTTTCTCTTGATAGTTTGATTGCTTATTTATAGAACTATACTGTAACCTTGAACTATATATTATTTGTACCCATCTAGACTTTTTTGCTGTACTGGGAAGCATACACAGGGTATTAATATTGAACTACACACATCCTTAGCCCTTCTATGAATTGAAATTTTAGACAAGGTTTAAGTTGCCCAGGCGAGGTTCAGATTTATAGTCCTCCTGCCTCAGGCTCCTACTGTGGTGGGATTACAAAAGTGCAACACTGTGCCCAGTTTACATGTAGAATTTTCGATATCTACTTTCATCTGATAAATACATATTCTTAAAAATGCTATGAAAAATACATAGAGAAGGTCTTTTTCCACTAACATGTAATTCAAGTCCATAGAAATTTTATCCCTGATATTAAAAGAATCTGTATTCTTGAACATGACAAATTTGTTGCAGGATGAAGAGAAACTCATCCTGTAGTGATGAAAGACTACACTAAAAGCTGAAATTAGGATATGATGGTATCATTCTGGGAATTTTCAATCCTATGCCATAAAACTTTTGTGAAGAAATCTGCTTAAATTTTAAGTTCAAATCCAATTTTGACACTGTGATGTTGGATTCTGAATGTAATTAGAAACAATATATATTTAACCTTTTTTGAGTTATATTTATGATACATGTACAATGCATCTGCTTTTTAAAAATAGTGCTTTTTTAGTAATTGGAAAACACATGGGTATTTCTCAGTGCCTCCAGCCCATGAAAGCAGCAATCATGTTGGAGGTGATATCAAAATTACTGTTGGTGTTAGCCCATTGTGGTAATTATTTCCTACAACTCACTGGATGTATAAGTACGTGGCAAACAATATGGATATTTGAGAATGACTATAATTGTTCACATCTGTGCTCAATCTTTATGGTGGATTTAATTCATGTAATAAACTGTTAAAGTTGATAGTTCTCATTCATCTCTCAGCATAGTGAATTGCATCTTCTTACCTTCTCTCCATATTTTGACATAATAGCTATAGAATCTATGTTACTGTATGTATCAATGTCTACACCTCTCCCCATCCTTACAAGAAGCTGTGATCTGCTGTTTGTTGGGGAAATCCTCCATGAAATCACTTGGGTATATATTCTCTCACTTATCAAATGGAATGCTACTTAGAGTTGCCAACATTTCCATAATAGTTTGAAAATTTAGCCAATGTGAAAATTTACTCATGATAAATGCTAAAAATTCTGTTCATTGACATTAGTTGGGGACTTTTCATGTGAAAAGCCCCAGGTAACATTTTGTTTTATAACATAACTAATTGTCTCAGTCACTCTGATGTAAGTCTTGTTATTAGTCTCATCAAAATTATGGGAAAATACATGAACACAGATGTTAAGAGACGTGTTCATGTGTGCCAGGTTTGGACTTTAAGATCAAGGTATTTTTCTTTAAACTACTGAGAATTATTTACTTCATAATCCATTGAGTTGTCCCCAAACTTACTTATGGATTGGGCAATTCTGGCAAGTTAATAAATACTGCTGTGTCTCCTAGGATTGTATTAGACAATATTTCATCTAGTCATGCCTAGCTCACAGAATTTCTATGTAGTGAACTATTTTTTTATCCTAAGTTGTGCAAGAGCCATTTCTTCTTAAATGGTACTTGTACCATTAGATTTTTAACCTTAAATATTGATCATTACAATCACATTTTCATAAATAACCAATCCTTTATGAAAGCACCCCTCCCATAAATGTCAGAGAGTTTCCTGGGAGCATCCAGAATCACATAGTCTAGTGTCTTCTTTTATTCATTCAAATATAACATGGTTATAGGTCTGAATTATTTTATATATTTGGCCTTCTGCTGAAAATAACTTTCTCTACTTACTCAACTTTTAATATTCAGATCACCTGTAATTCTCTCTAGAATACAATCACTTTATTGTCACTCAATCAGAATTGCTCACTACTTCTTTTATGAGTCCAGGTCTCCATGATACTATCCACATATTATTTTAGCACCGCCTATTATAGATAACAATATTTCTCAGTCTGTGGGTTGAATGCAAAAATATTCCACAAGATTGTGGCAAATTTTAGCAATGTACTTCTTTGATGAAAGAAGGAATGTAATAGAAACTAAAACTAAAAAAGTAATTATTTGTCATTATTTCAGCATGGGTTTTTATATGGTAGTAATTTTTATTCAGAAGTATTTATAAACTACTCATTTCTCATGGCTAAAATGAAAAAATGATGCATGATTTTTTTCTTAATAATCTAGAAGACAGAATTATAATTACTCTTGTACACATACACTTCATATAGCCTATTCTATGAACATCTGAAAGACTGATGATAAAATGTGTAAGTATATAAATATTAAACAAAATGAAAATCTCTACATGCTCAATAATTAGAGATAAATAGACAATAACCCCTAGTTGGAATTTTAATGCTAAGAACTTGGCATATGTTTTATAGCAAAGTGGCCCAATTCCTGCTGAACTACATCCTAAGACTTTATTATTTTGCAACATTCATTCTTTGAAACCTCACAAAATTGAAATCATGTCATAAACCTTACTAATCTCTAAAGGATATTATCTGTTGGTTTATACACTAGTGCAATTTATTTGACTAGCAAGTAACAGAGGCTTACGACTACTTCTAAAAGTCCTAGAAATGAGTTTTTCTTCCAATAATTTATGCAGTTTCACACAAAGACTCTTAAAATACATATTTCAAACTAAGCTATCAGAGACCTAAAAACTCAGAATGCTTCTAATGTAAATGCCTAAAAGTCAAACTACATCCAAGTTTTACCTTGAAGCAGATGTAAGAGTCAATTAATAGTCTCCTACATCGCGTCTAGGACATGTATTTCAGGGATAGAGTGAAGGCTTAGGGGAGAGAGAGAGGTACAGGGAGGGGGTGGGGAGGGAGAGAAGTGAATGATATCAAACAATCTTAGATTTCGGATGGCCATGTAGAATAGGGCCATAATGTATAATGACAGAGGTCTAATTTGGATAAGCCATAGATTCAGTGGGATAAAAATAGTAGGTGGTCATGAGCATTACTACTGTGTATACAGTCACCCATTTTCTTTTTTAAAAGTGTTTTTTTTTTTTTTTTCATATAACTGAACTGTGTGTCTCTGAACTGACTTAATCAAGCAGTCAGGTGAGTCAGTGGATGAAAACAGGATCTTCATGCTATGGAGAAAGGATGAGTCACCTTGAAAACTGTCCATACTATACCTTCTCATCCAAGGCTTTGTGGTGCTCAAACAAAGACTTCAGTGCCTTGAGGACTTCAACTTCACTCGATACTCCCGAGGGGGACTGGGCTTGCCGCTTGACCACCGTCATTCTCAGTGACCTTTCATGTCGTGACACGAGGCACTCCAAATGCTCCAGTAACAGCTATGGGATTTAATAGAAAATATAACCTCAGGTTATACAACAGAAGTAACATAGAAACAAAAACCTATTTCAACTAGGGTTCATAAGATACATTAAAGATAAGGTACATTTAGGGCTGGGGTTATAGCTCAAAGGCATAAGTGCCTGCCTGGCAAGCACAAAGTCCTGAGTTCAATCCCTGGTACCACACAAAAACAAACAAAGAAACAAACAAAAAACGATAAGTTACATTTCAATCATATAACATACTATTGAAATTAAAAACAATGCAAATATGAGTTCTTTCAGGAGGTTCAGAATGCCTGATAAAATATGTATGATCTGACATAATTATTGAAGAATATTTTTTCTTTAAATAAATACAAAATTCACAATGACTTTTTACAAAATAATATTAACAATAAAATATTATTTTAAAGTATTATTTTAAAATCTTCAGTCATTGGAGAACTGAGGATACAGTTCAGTGGCATAAGCACCTGCCTCACAAGTACAAGGCCCTGAGTTCGATCTCTAGTACTGAAAAAAAAAAATTAAAAATTAAAAAATTCACTGGGCTAGGATTGTAGCTCAGGGGCACAGCACCTGTCTAGCAAGTTCAAGGTCCTGAATTTGATTCCAAGCGCGCACACACACACACACACACAAAAAAAAAATATTTAATTTATACTACATCATTTAAAACTTTGAGTTATAGGAAATGAACATGAAACATCAAAAGGGTAACTTACATTGTAGAGACAATCACAAGATTTTTTTCAAAATTAATCCTTGTGCTACAGAAAGAAAGATATGAAACCAATTGTAACATAGTAACTGACACTTCCAATGGTCATTATGGGAAAAGAAAGTTAGAGGCATCAGCTGTCCGTGTTGGAACACATACCCACCAGAGAAATCTCTGGGCCCAGGACAAAGGTGAATGGAAACCCCAGGAACCAGTTTCCAGAATGTTCCAATCTCTGTGTTTGGATTTTGATGAAGTCTGCTTTTAAATGCTTTGTTAATTGGAATTTCACACTTGTTTTCATTTTAAAAAAGAGTGTTGGAGCTAGAGTCTCGACACATAAAAGAAAAATAAACTGGGTTATTATATAAGTTTAGCCATTAAGAACAACATAAAACTCATAATTTTTAATAGAGGATACCTTGGGGGAAAACCCACTTGGGCCCCCCTTCTGTCCCTCTCTGGGACAGGAACTTTCTTTCCCCCAATAAATATATTCTGTGCTTAAAAAAAAAAATAGAGGATACCTCCAAAAGAATAGCGAAAAACACATGCTAAGGAATAATACCACTGCAAAAGAAAGGTAAAAGTAAAGACATTGAATAGACAAAAGATGAAAATGGAGATGTACGAGGGGAGGAGATAAAACTCTTTTTCTTAAAATGCTATGCTATGAAAATGTCTTTGCCAACATCACTGTTGAATTCAGTATTATATCTAAGTATCGCATTTTTTTAGTGCTTAAAAAGTTAAGTGTTCCACCTTCACTATCAACTGTGCTTCAACATGGCAAAAATTCTTCTGTCTTTGGCAAACAAAACACACAAATATGTGGGACTGTAAATGCACATTCGTAAATAAAAGTCATACTTAAGATTCAAAAAGTAGTACAGGGTAAGCATTCCTAACCCCAAAGCTAATTAAAGTACCCCAAAATCTGAAGCTTCTGCAGCCCCAGCAGCCATGTTGGATTTTGGATGGTGTGGGAAGGGAGGCAGAAAATTCCACTGCAAATATTCCAAACTCCAAAAAATCCCTGAAAATTAAGAAACTTCTTGTTCTAAGCATGCCCGGTAGGGGATATTCAAGCTATAATCATTTTTTTTCAGCATGAAGATGATACAATTCATCGGTGCATGGAGTGCTCCTTGTATTTATTTATCCATGCATCTACAGCACTGCTCTCTTTTGAAGCCCACAGATACACTTGTGCAGGAGTCAAATATCAGCTATGGAATTTACATGGATTTTTATACTGCTTGTTTCTCTGGCATCATCAGTGGCCAGTGTTTTCCTAACAATGTTCCAGCTACATCAGCAGGTACTTCATATGCCCTGAATTTGCCTGTGTGGTACCCTCTGCCTGGCCTACTGTTTCTTTGGCTCTTCATGTT